AGTTTTTTTTTTTTTTTTTTTTTTTTCAGTAAGTCTGCCTAAACTAGAAAAGAGGTAATTAGGAACCTCAAAAAATGTTGAATAAATGCAGGACAGGGCTTTATTTAAATGATCAAAACCCATGCATAAGCCATCCTAAACCTTACTTTATTTGTAAAGAGTTGTTCAGAACTAGCTAACAAAGTAAGTTACAGAACATTATGAAGACTGTTAATAAGTGCTCGGCAACAGTTAAAAATGTGCAGAAAAATGAAATTAGAATGGTGTCTTTAGATGTACCTCGCTAGCCTTGGTCAGATTTTAATTTTTCTCTTAAAGTGCTACCTTGTGGGATACACTAGAATAAAACAAGAAAGTCCAGCTCCCGGGACAGAGTGAATTTTAAAATAGACTTCTGTGAGAACTATCTTCCGTTCTTACCATATTAACTTTAAAGCACTGTAACAGTATCTCAACAGATGCTTGATAGAACAGCCTGTATATCCCGGTGGCTCCTGTTCTCTCGAAGGCCAGAGTGCCAGGCGCAAGGAATCACAAAGATGATGCTCATTTATCAACCTACATTAACTCCGTGAGAATGCTAAATAACTGAAAGAAAAAAAAAATCAGACATCTTCTGTTTCTACAGTTCTGCTGTTTATAAAGGTCAGACAATATAAACCCCAAAGAAACAGTCTTGGCTTATTTTCTAAAGAAGTCAGAAACGATTGAGATACAACTGTGTATGAAAATTGGACAGACAAGTATATTGACACCAAAGGAAGAAAGGAAGACATTTGCCTCTTTCATGCCTTTGAAGAAACTCCATTAACTTTCTCGGTACTTACATACTGCCTGTCAGATTTTAGTGGCCTCAGATTGTTTTCCCACTGTGAATGAGGGACATGTGTCTTTCTAATTATGTATCTGTATGTATTTAATGAACGGAAGAAGGGATTTTGGTAAAGTCTGCAATTTCTCAGAAGTCCTACTGGCATGGGAGACACACGCCTTCCAACACGTTACTTACTTTTACAGTGAATGTACTCTTAGCCATGTGTAACAATGGCTGCTTCTGTCTACAAAGAGAGGAAGGAGTTTGGGTAATTTAGTTTACTCAGCTCAATCTTTGAAGAGAAAATTTGTGCTTGGCATAGCTTTTCTATAAAATTGGTTTTTGAACATATCAAGTCCATGCTTGCTGGGTGACTTTAACATAATTTTTATATTTGATGATTAAAGTGTATCTTTCAAAATATGTTATTTAAAACCTACTGCCTGAAATAAAATTTTCTCCAACAAATTTTTCATTGTTTTATAAATAAGTTTTAAAGATTTAGAAATAATGCAATATCTTTGTTAGAATGTCAAACATGCTGGGCTGGGGAGATGGCTCAGTGGAATAAGCGCTTCCCTGGCAAGTGCAAGAGCCTGAGTTCAATCCCCGGTTCTGACCAAAAAAAAAAAAAAAAAAAAGAAAAAAGTTTAGAATGTCAAACATGCATTTTTGACTTCTACCAATATACACAACAAGGAATTATTGTGGCATATTAACTTTTAACATTATTGTTTCCTAAGCTCAACTATGCAACAAAAGCATGCTTCTGGATGGAAAATAAGATATGAAATATTCTCACTTGCTTATCATAAAAATAGTCAAGTTTTCACTTAAAAGTTCTTTGGATAGAAGAATTTTAATATGTCTATATTAGGAAGTGTACAGGATTTAATATCCAACACGGAATGAGAACTGCCATTAGTGAATAGGCACCTTTTAAAAGATAAGCAGCTACAGTTACTTAAAAACCTATCTAAATACTCAGACATAATTTAAAGTTCAAAATGGTACTGTCATCAAAGATAGATAGTAGCACATTCTGGAGTCAAAGTGTACATTTTTCTATTAAAGGAACATGAGAAGATACCAATATCCTGTACTTTCTGATGTTTTCATTTTTCCTTAAAGCTAACACGTGGAGATTGTATTCTTAGGTGAGTAACTTTGAGCTTTTTTTAGTAAGTCACCTGGGGCTAAATGAAAATTCTACCATTCACAGTGTGCTTCCTGAGAGAAAAATCATGAGAATTGCAGGGGCTGAAATGGCCCCAAGTGTTATTTCAAGCAGATTCTCTGTTCCCTGAGCTCCCATACTCTTCAAAGAGGGACAGAGTAGGAGGCTCCCACTCACTGGGTTTTTACAAGCTCCCAGGAATTGTTTTCAAGGTCAGTATCAGCCTTTGCCGTGCAATAGCTTATAATAAACTAAAAGAACAAAACAGATTTTTCTTTTTATATCAAGGTTGCTACCACTCCACCTTACACAATAGTTGTCGTAATTCCTAGGCCACCAGACCAAATGCAAATAGAAGCTATCAGGCACATTCTTGCACTAGTCCTAGAATGACCCAAACGAGCTCTCAAATCTGTCCTGATACTCTGCTTGCAATAAGTTGCTTTGACAGAGCCCCAGGGGACGATAGTCCTTACAGTTAAACACTACCTAGCTTTTGGCAAAGATTTCTGAAGGACTATGTCACAGAATAGGCTGGAATCACAAAGTCTGTATTTTGCTGTGTACTTCCAAGTGCCCTAAAGGTAAGACTGCTTTGGTGGGATCTAGACTTCAAAACTGGGAAGCTCAGGTATTGAAGACACGTGCACAGAAAGTAAGCCCTCAAGGGCAACACCCCTGGGGCGAACAAGGGCAGGACCAAGTTCAGAGGTGAGATGCCCTTCCATTCTGTGTCATCAGATGGTAGGTACTGTGCCAAGCAGCTAATGCCAGAATGTTTGTGCTTTAATTCTTTACAAATGCTAACTAGAAATAAGTCCAAAGCAGATGCTAGAAACAAGTTGAACTCAATTCTAAGGATGCTACAGAATTCCAGTTTAGAACGGCTGCACTTCTCTTGAGCGAATTTATGAAAAGACTTTACAGAAGCACAAACTCAAGTTATGTTCACTTTAACGCATGGCTACTAGCCAAACAGGCTAGCCATGATCAATCAGTGCACTGAGCTTTCAAATTCGGTTTCCAGGCCACGTCACGGGTGTCCTTGCATTCTCAGCCTCAGTCAACAAGGCAGAACTTGTTTCCCAGGTGAAACTTCGAGTGTATCTTTTCTCACACTCAGGGCTATTCTTAGTCATTTATAGTGGTGACAACACGTCATCGATGCAGCCACATGAAGTATAAAATAACCTACACTCCCTCTTTGTACTTTTTTTCTTTTCCTTGCAGTGTTGGAGGACTGAACCCAAGGCCTTCATATTGAGCTACATTTCCATTGCTTTTAAACATTTATTGATTTATTTTTAATTTTTGAGGCAAAGTCTTGCTAGGTCACTAAGTCGCCTAGGACAGACTTGAACTTCTGATCCTCTTGTTTTGTAATTTCACAGTACTGGGATTAGAAGTGCGATCGACCCTCAGCCTCTTGTGGCTCTCCTTTTCATCTTGTGTTTCTGAAGCTACTGAACTGGAACAACGTCAAGCAATGTATGTATTAAAAAAAGAATGGTTCCTTTCAGATTTGGTGGCATTTACCAATAATCCCAACTACTTCGGGGACTGAGACAGGAGAACCACAAGTTTGAGATCACAAATGAAGAGTGTCTAAAAATGAAATAAATAAAAAAGGAGGTGGAGGCAGGAGTGGTGAGGGGAGGGCTTGGGATGTAGCTTGGCATTCCCTGGGTTCAAGCCTGAGTATTTTAAAAAGAAAAAAGATCCTGCCCCAAAGGAGAAACATCTACTTTATTCCTTTCTTCAAATTCTTCTTCTTCTTCATTAAAAAAAGATCACCATATTAAGCTGTGATGAATTCAGTGAGTACTGGTAATACACAGGCATCACCCCAAAACACTTTCTGTTGAGTGAAGTAACAGCTATTCTTTGAAAATCCTCTCTAAACACTATCTAGCTGTTTGCTGCATGCATTCAAAACTTGAGTCAGAAATCATAGGCACTTAAATTTCCCCAAAAGGTATTTTCTGTGTCTTTCCGGTTCCCAGAGCCAACTCAGTACTAACTCATGAATAAGGAAGAGGTGGCATGGAATATAAAGGACCGAAGAGAAGATAGCAAGAGAAAAAGTAAAGCTGTTTACAGGGCCCAGGTCAGGCTGACACTGCAGAGGACAGGAGCATGCACAGGGCATTCGAAACAACCTCAAAGCAGAGAAAAACCACTTCAGAAAGCAAACAGGTAATCAAGAGTTAGACAACCCCTCAGATACTACACTGACAATATATTCTATTAAAACAGAAAACTACAAAACAGTTTATAGTGATCATGTGCCAGTGGTAGAGAAGAACAAGTATCCTGCACGTCGCCCAGGCAGCATTAGTAAACACAAACTGAGAGGACTGCATTACTGGAGAACAAATGGGCCGCTGCTAGGACTGCGGAACTGAGACCGTAAACCATAACCTGAAGCTCAGTACTGGAGAAAGCTTCACAGGAAGAAAGTGAGCAGGTGGTGTGTGCAACAGCTTCAACAGTCTGCTGTTAGCTATGTAACGGTAGCAGTGTTTATCAGAGGAGCCAGCAGACAGACAAGATAGGCACTTCGCAAACAAGGCAGTGCGTGGTGAAAAGTACAGTGTAATAGTAAAGACAATTCAAATGTACAGTGTAATAGTAAAGACAATTCAAATGCCTTTCCTGTCTTTAGCCAGAGGGAACTGCTCTCCAAACCAAGACAGGAAACAGTTTCTGAAAAATGCTTAACATAAACAAAATAGTAACAACCAGCAAGGAAATAATGACATTTCAAACCAGAAAATAAAAGCTATCTCTATTTTTTTTTTTTTAAAACCTACTTGAGGTACACTCCCTAAATCTATGGCAAGTCATAAAAAGCTTATAGGTATTTTCCAAAAGAAAGAAAGAATGGTACTACACAGAAGGTTCAAATAGGCTTAAAACAAGTAAATTCGGCTTTCTGAAGAGTAAATAGAATGCATGCTTTAAAAAAGAGGTCTCTTAAAAGATACTAATTTTTTTTTTCCTTTTTGTTGTGTCTGGAACTTCATTTTTTTATTGCTAGCAAATTTACTGTTTTTGACCAGAAAAGAAATGCTGAGGACGCAGGCTCAACTTTCAAATTTGAACAGACCACATTAGTGAACAAGTGCCTGTTATTTACGGTCACCTTGGGTCTTTAAAATTCAATTCTTCTTGTTATGTACAAAAAGTAACACTTTAAGAGATCAGAGAATCTCCCTTTCAAAACACACACACACACACACACACACACACACACACACACACTCAAAAGTACCAAATCAGGCCCGGCAGCTGCAGGGAGATTACATCATAACTCAGCTGTGCCTGGATTACCCACTTTACACTGGCAGCATTCAAGGTTAGAAAAATGAAATGGCAGCACAATTGGTCAGCAGCTTCTCTTCTTCTGGAATTTTTCCAGGTTTTTGAAACAGACAAACAAACAAACAAGAGAACATAAAGCTGCAATCACTCTTGCATTGATTTCAAAACAGTAAACGAGGTGGTTTCCTTGGAGAAGCAGGGCCCATACAAAGATGGCAGCTGGAGGCCTCAGGCCAGTGAGGCACGGCAGCTCTGCTGGGCCTGCACAGGGGCCCCCGCAGCTGCCCAAGGGCTCAGACGACCAGCTCAGGGCAGCTTGGAGACCTCAGGCTGTGTTCAGCTCTGAGGCGTTCTGGCTGGGTGGCAGGTGGGAATCCAGGTTCTCCTTGCATCGCTCCAGGTCTTGGAAGTATGGGTGAGACAGGGCACTGTAGGCAGATATCCTCTTGGCTGGATTAAATGTCAAGCATTTCTGTAATAAAAAAGGAATTGACTGATATAAAACATGTCAATTTAAATACTGTGCTTGCATAGTTATCCTTCTATTCACTGCTGTGTATTGTCTGTCTATAGTAAGAATATTTATGTAGAGTGACACTAAATAATACACAAACAATACTCGTATATTTCCCTAACACATAAGTGGGCCCTCAGGAAAAGGCGACAGCCTAGGTCATTTAAAACGGGTAGATTCAAGAGTGTAACTCGGTGCTACAGTATCTGTGTAGCATAAGTGAGGCTCTGGGTTTGATCTCTAGCACTTCCAAACCAAACCAAACCAAACCAAACCAAACCAAACCAAACCAAACCAAACCAAACCAAACCAAAAAACCCTCAACCACCCACATGCACACAAGTTAGTATTTTATTTACAGTATGTGTATCACTGTATTTGGATGGGATTCTTCTAGTATAGTATTTGCAAACTTAGTGTGACAGTGAGAGACTTCACCCTAACACAGTGCTTTGCCATAAGGTTTGTCAATGAGCAGGGGACAAAAGGTGCCCTGTTCGGGTGTAAAGGGTAACGACTGCTGTATGGTACCTGAAAGAGGGAGTCAAGAAGAGCTAAACCTAGGCCCCTTCAGCCTGACGCAGCAGCAAGCCTTGCACCTTGCCCCAGTGGCTGCAGCCCCAGAGGCAGGAACACTGCAGAAGCTGCATGGGCTCGCAGCAGCCCTCGAGAGTCCAGTGGATTAAATTGAAGCCACCAAGGTCTGGCAACTCAAGCACAGGGATATGAAGGCAAGTGAGCTGGTCGCTGCACTTATAGAGTGCCTGGTCCTGGTTGAGAGGTCTGTTGACTTTGACTGGGCTACTGAGGCAGAAGGCAAAAGGAGGCACAGGTGAACCCCCACAGCAACAGCACACCCTGCCCCCAAACTGTCAACTAACTGCGTCTGTAATCTCAGTCCCACTTTTACTCCAACCCCAGAAATCTTCAACTCTCTCTCCTCTTCTTCCACTGGTACTTCCTGAAGGGCACTTGGTGGTGACAAGCACTCATTACGAGTACCACACCACGTCCCAGGAGCTTACAGGCTGCAAACATGCGACTGGGTCACACTTGAGGCACCCAGCCTATAACATTCACTGCTGGAGCTGGGTCTCCAGAAAGCCTATGAATTCCAGTCCTCCAGAGATGTAACACAGCTCTGGTATGCAGCCCTCTCCTCAATCTGGGCTCTGGCTCACAGTCATCACTGTGTTCTGATGGGAGCAGGGGCCCCGCTAAAACAGTGTTCACAACTTCTGGCCTAAGGAGGCAACACAAATAGAAAGGTGAATTCTTGGATTTCCTGAAATCTTATTTATCTGAGCTCTCTACCAGCCCACAGGGATGGGATGTCAGTCTCCCTTTTGGGTGTTCTAAAAAATCAAAGAGCTCAAGAGCACGCAGAAGAGGGAGCTTGTTTGTAGAATGGTTCCTCTGTGTCTAACAGTAATAAACAACTTTAGAAGAGTTTTGCAAATTTAAATTTAGCAAAGGCAAAGAACAGGAAAGTAGAGGAAAAAAAAAGCAAAGAATAGGAAAGGAGTGGCAAAAATTCTACAGACTGAGTCTTTCTTTTCACTGTCCATGGGGAAAATAAGGCAGGACTAGTAGAAAAGGAAGCAGCCAGTTTAATCCCTAGGACACAGGTAAGAAAAGCATTGTGGGAATATGTTCAAGACAGAAAGACATGTCCCTAGAGGATTATCTGGGCGAAAGCCTTTCCACTGCAGCTACATGGATGATGCAAGAGCTGGGAGAGGGTGGAGAGGAGAGGAGGGCTCCTTAGCCAAATGTGGGGATGTGTGAAGTTCAAGGGGAAGTGTTTATTGCATTTTTTCCTACAGATAGTTAGAAAAGGTGGCTAAGTCCTACTATTGCTCTACTTTTAGGTATAAAGTGGGTGACAAAAACCTTGTGACAACATTGCTTCTGCCCAAAATGCTGACTTACAAAATGAGTTTTTAGAATAACTTAGTTAAGACTTGAACATTGTGGTGCAGACTTGCTTTTTTTTTTTTTTTTTAAAAGCAGATACTCCTTTCCCTCTCCTCCTCTCTTCCAGGAGCAGCAGTCTTTCCTCAGATGAAGTTGGCCTTGGCCAGTGAAATGGGGCAAGAAGTGGCAAGGCACTTCTCTAACCCAGGCCTCAGGGCTGTTCTGTGTCTCTGCCTGCCTGTGTGGGAGCAGCGACGACGTGCTGCACAAGGAAAGCCTGCCTGAGGGAGCTGCTGCCTCGCTGGCGCAGGTGCAGAATGAGACACGTGGAGAAGACCTGGACTGGATCACAGGCTGCAGAAGACAGCCAAGGCTCTTGTTTCAAGAAGTAAAGGGCACACTCATTACTGGGGACCAGCTCCGAGAGACCCAAAAGGTGCCCTGCTCTGTCCAGGGCACTCAGGTATAAGGTCAAGTAGTAAGATTTTGAATCTCAGAGCACAGA